CCTCCCACCCCCCCATATTTTCTGGTAGGTAAGGAGGAGATCATTTTGGTTTACATATGGAGATGCTGAAAGAAATTACAAAAATGAGCTGGTTTTGTTGGGGAAACTTTTGCATAGATCCATTGTAAAAGAGAAATAATTTTAAAATTATTTCCTGCCATGTGATAACAAAATGGGAACATGCACTTAACAAACTTCCTTTTCCAGAAGAAAACCTTTCAGAAGTTCTCCCTCTAATGACATTCATTAAATTTTCCCTTTTTCCCATTCCTTTCTCACAAATATTTTAGTTTATCTGCTCCTCTCCATTGTTTCTGTACATCTCGTACAGTTGTCCTGCCCAGAGCACAGGGACTTTGCCGATGGTGCAAGGGCTGCCCGCCTTCCTGCAAAAGGTGCTGCTGGGCAGAAATTCAAGCACAGCAAAGAACTACTTTGTGTAAGTGTGAGTCACTGTCCTGCAGATGATCTAGGGTAACACACCCCAGTGCAAGCCCCTAGTCATCTCTTGTGGTTTCCATACTGACCTTCTCATTCAGAATGAGTTGCCACCATACTCCGCAGGAAGATGCTAAATGAATGCACTTGGTGAGCAAGCAACTCCTCCACCACCTGATGCTGGTAAGCAGCTTGCCAGCAATGACTGGGCTGCCTGCTTCCAGAATATGGCATGTATCATCTTCTTCAAAATTCACTGCTGGGTATTTTGCTTAATCATCTTAATTATCAAATAATACTTGTATTCTAGGTGTCTGTTTCAAATCTGTAATGCAACTGCAGAATGTGTGTATGGGATATATTTAAGTGCAAGTTTCCAGACCTGCATGTTGTGTCCACCTGAGCTCTTCAGCACTATGCCCAGACAGTACTGCTGCTCATGTTTGCTGAAAGCTACTGGGTTGAACATAGGCTGTTCAATGGCCTCTTCTATGAGCCATTTTTTCCTACTTTGTCACTGTGGTCATGATTAGTTAGCCTTTGGTGCCAGAGGGTACAGCCACTGCCTGAGACATTGTTCCTAGGAGCTGAATTGGTTTCTATGAATCTCCACTTCCATGTGCAAGGGGCAATATAGAAAGGCTTTTTGAAGCCCTCGTAGTGGTCAGAGTTTAACAGGATCAGGAGTTCTGCAGAATAATGTAACTACCTGAGAAAACATGTCTGGTTCAGACCATTGTTTATGTGAGCAAGAAATAGATGGGGGTTCTGAAGAAAAGGGCAATGGTAGACTTGCCATATGAATGTGGCTAGTATCAATGAGGGATGAATTATTGTTGCAAGTCAAAATTCAGGCAGAACTTCTAAACTGGAGGTAGGAGGGAAGGTCTGTAAGCAGCAGTGTGCTAGGGAATGACCATGTCAGATCTGGAGTGAAGCTTTTGGGGCTGGGTATCTGAGACCCTCTTTGTGTTTGCATAAGGCCTCGTTAGTGGCTTTCATTCAAGGGAGTCAAGGGAGCTTACTGTATAAATTGTCCTCCCTCTCATCTTCTGGCTATTTCAATTACCCAGCTGGGAAAGGGAGGATACAGAACCCAGATTAAATTATTTGACTGTGGTTACAGGAGGAGTGCAGGGAACTAAATCTGCATCTCCAGAGAGCTTAACTGGTTCCTGGAAATCACCCTTCTTCCAGTCATTAACAAATATCTTTAAGGGGAAATGCTGATATTGTCTGAATCCTATTGAAAATGAACCACAGTCAAAGTGCAGACCAACACTTTAAAGCGGGATATAGGGAATTATTAGGATGTCAGAATTAGTAGGAACTCAGTGAAAGGCAGAATACAGTCGAACCTGAACTGAATCTTCCACCTCCTACACAGCACTACCATGCCACGAGCACAGGGAGCGCATAGGGGCTGAGGTGCAGAGGTAAAAGACCTTAATTAAGTTTGTACGTTACCCAAACTACCTCACAGGGAAGTGTCAGGAAGCTGAATTAACGAGGTAACTAGCAGTCAGCCATACTGGTTTATAGTTTAACTTTTGCTAGGATTCTTACCTTTTCACATACAGTCAAAATTCTGTGTTAAGTTTCCACCGTTACACCTCAGATGCTGATGAAACTCTCCTCACTGATGACAATTACTGTGTAACCATTTTGCTCTTCACTGGAAGGCTGTACTGTGCTCAGCATAACTGGTTTTAAAATTCTGCAGGGTTTTTAAAGAGAGAAGTCATGCTGTCCAGCAAGACAAACTACTCTAGAATAGAGCTTTGTTTGTCTAGGAGGTGGAGCTGTAATAAAACTATGCCCAAGCAGTTTATGTACAATAGTTAACAGACTCTGCTGCTTCATAAGTGTGTTCAAAAAACAGAGCATCTAGCTGGAGCAGGGTCTACTGGTAACTTGGGAATCCTCATAGTCCTCTGAACCTCCCAGGTTTAAAATCTCTTTGTCCTCTGGGACTGCCACTCCCACTGCAAGCATCACACCCGATCATGCACAGTGCTTCTCTGATGGCAACAGTCTTAAGACTTGGGAATTTGTAACACAGATTAAATTTTGGTAGAGTGGTGATCAAATAATGAATCTTGCAGCATTTTTGCACTAGGCTGAGGAGAATGATCAGCCCTTGCAATTTCCTCCGCCTGCTGGAGGAACTCAACTCTCAGATTTGCATCATGGTAGCAGAATGGAGGAAAGAAAACAAAGCGTAGGCAAGGATGTGTCTGGCATTTTCTGAATTGGTATTTCTCTCCTACCTGGAACCCTAGGCAGATGAGTGCTATGAATGGCGAACAGGGCTTTAAATGCAGTGTGTTGGAGTCTTGGCAATTTATAAAGAGGATTAGTCATTTCATTGTGGAGATCCCTCCACCTCCGAAATGAGAGGAAATAGTTCTGACTGAAGGCAGCAATCCATCATCTTTCAAATTCTGACATTGTGAGGCAAAACTTACATCAGGAATCTGCTAAGAAGTATCTAAATGTATTTAAGTACATCTCATTTGGCTGAACTTCAGAAGCTCACAGGCAGTAACAAGTAACTTCAGGTTGTGGCTGTGCTATCAGATCTGAATGTGAAGACTGAAACATACCCCAACGCGGTGCAGCTAAACAGCTCGTTCTCTCTCTTCTTCTTCTTCCAGGTGAAGAAGATTGCAGCAGAATATTACGATAACCTCCCACATCACCAGTCCTGGATTCGAGTTCTGTGGGACTTTGTTTTTGATGACACTATTGGTCCTTACTCAAGGGTTAAGAGACTATATGAGCTGGCAAAAGAAAGCTAATGGACTAGCTCTGCCAGCTGCATTGGTGTTTTAGTCATTTGAATGACTTTAGTTTTCTGCAGAAGTAGAAGGATGTTTGTGTGTGCTGAATTAGCATTGGTGTGTGCTCCTTAGACCAAAGGATGAGTGTGAAAATGAAGCAATTGGATGCACTATTTTAGACTATTGATACTTTTTAATAAAGGATATTTGTGTATGTAACCCTGAGAAACTAGATTATGTGAACCTTTGGTCTAGGCTTAGAATTAACTTCCTGGGCCACATGTGCCTGAGTTTTGGCCTGGTCTGTAATGGAGAATGGTTGGTGAATGTATGTGTGAGTGTGTGTGTGTGTGTGTGTGTGTGTGTGTGTGTGTAGTTTAGGACTGTTTTCATGCCAGATTAGATGTAGATGCTCTGCGTGCACAGGACTCTGAAAGCAGGGAGAACTGGCACTCAGTGGTAAATGATACTTTCTGGAGGACACAAGGGTGCCTTTAGCTCAATGGCTTGTCTAATCTAATATCTTCTGATAATTGCTGGTAGCGGAGATTTTGTACATGCAATGGAATATGTGTATATTTTTGTACATTTGTATCATTATTTTAGTAGCTGCTGTTTAACCTTTATTCCAGGGCTTTGTCTAACCTTTTCTGAATGTATTTCTGTTCTTATGATCTAATACTCAGTGTAGCTAACTGGCAAAACTGAACTGTGGCATGGAGAAACCCTTCCATTAGTCTTCCATTCGCTGCCTGATTAGCAGCATGGATGTGCCCCTGGAGGAACTTAGTCCTTCCTCACTCACCTTTTCAACAGTATTCATAACTTCATGTTTCTCATCCTTTTCCCCGCTGTAAGTCCTTCTGGGAATGGAAAGGTTCTAGTTTTAGTTGCTGCTTGCTGAAGTTGTTAATATTCCTGATCACCTTTCTTAGTCTTTTCTATATTATAACCCTTTCTGCACACAGGAGTTAGGAGTATGTGTCAGTGAAGGCAAGGACATGTTATGGTGATATTTGTTTCTAATTGCTTTCAGAATAATTGTAAATTTTTCCTGTCATGTAAGAGGCACTGACTTGATGTTTGGAAAGCACATGATACTCCAGGTGTATAAAAGTTGCTACTGATGGTGTTAAGGGGCTATACCTGAAACATGGAGCTGGGATTGTTTCTCTCCCTACGTGTCTTACTTTGTGCTGTTGCCATTAACCTTCATCTTTCATTTTTACCCACTGGAATAGTTAAATCTTCCTGCCTGTCCTTTCCAACTATAAACTTCTGGCTATCCTCAATAATTCTGTATCATCAAAAACCTTAATCATCGTATCTTTCTCCAAGCAGAACAGTATCTTGGAAGTCAGACGTTCAGATGCTGTCAGTTAAGTTCACTCCACCCTGGAAAGATGACAACTTATTTCTGTCCTTACTAAGCAGTTAAAAGAGAGACTTATAAATGTCCTCTTATACTGTAGCCCTCTAACAGGTTTTTTGTTTGTTTGTTTTCTTCTGTAAATCCATGTCTGTAACAAAGAAAAGGATTACTGTGCGTTCTTGTTGGTCCCTCAAAGTATGCTATGAGACCTGGAAAACCTGATTTCCTCAATAAACAGAATTTCGTTCCATTTTGTTTCTTCCTTCTACAGCACTGGATCCAGTGAGTCAGTCTGTCCATTCACTAGCCTGGCACACCAGGCAGCTGAGCTAGCCTGCTGCAATTTGTGTTCCTTCTCCTCCACTTCCCCTTCCATTCTTCTCATCCATCTGATTTTGGCAGTTGGGTAAATATCCAGGTTTGCTCAGTAGTGCAACATCCTTTGTGATGCAGGGGCTGAATACCAGTTCCTTCACAGATACTGTTTTGGTCCATGTGTAGTGCTTCTGGAAAAGAAGTTGAAGAATAGGGCTTCTTCTGACACTTCAGACTTCATTGGTTCTTCAGTAAAGGACATGTTATGCCTTAAATATTAAAGCCTCTTTTCTCCTGAAGAGGCTTTGGTGTAGGAACCTCCATTAACTTCTTTGTATCAGTGCTCACGTCAGGAAGCTTCAGTTGTTTATTAATTTACTTCAGTGCTGCTGGCACTCCACAATCACGTATTCAAGTTCTTGCGTCCTTAGCAAGCTGTTCCTCAACTCTCTTGGCCAACTTAGCATGTTAATATAAAAACCATAATAAAGATTATGCTATCTTCCTCAACATGACTATTGTCCTCCTCTATGGTGAGTGACCATTCTATAGTTCCCTTACTCAGCAGTTCCAGGACGCAGTCACCTCTGTGATCTATAGATTACTAGCCTAGCCCGACAGAGGCTGTGGTGTAAACAGAGGGTAACCAAAATTGGCAGCTACTTCTTATCCTGCCTCCTATCGGTCCTAGCTTGCTTTGCTTGGGCAGCCCCACTGCCCTCCTCTGCACTCTCTCTCACCTCAGCGGGAATTTGAAGTGTGTGGAAGCCTGGTGCCTGCAGATGTGTGGTGTAAGCTGAGTTTCAATGTATGTGGGTGCTGCTGGAGAAGGCTGTGATCCTGTCCTCTCCATTGGCACTTGTCCTTGCCACTACCAGTAATGTTGGCAGAAGGGGTTATTTTGTAACCACAGGGCATATGGGTCTGGGTTAAAAGTACATTAGGGCTATATATAGTTTTATTCTCTTTGCTTAAAAATTAATCCAGATCTCCGTCATTGTTTGGCCACACTAATGCCCTGGCAAGAGGAGATAGGAGGAACAAATAGCTATATGATAGATCAGAGTGGAGGTTAATGCCCCCTTTGATTTCCGCCATGTAAAATGTCTGTGGCCTGCCCTGTTGCAGCAGCTCAACAAGCCCAGCGTGAAGGGACACCCTTCTCTACAGAGGCAACAGGCAAACTGAATTAGTGCCTGGGAGGGGGAAAATCCTCCGGCAGTGCCACTACTGCAAATAAACCTCCCAGCGCATCCCTGTCACTGGAGCTGAAAGCTGGGAACCAGCAGGGCACTAGTGATGCCAGGACTGCTCCCCTGCCCCTACCAGCCAACCTTCCCCTTCCACCCCCATGCACCTTGCTCCCATAGCTATTAAGTAAACTTCAGCTTATTATATCTTAATTATACAGGGCCTCCAAAGGTAGAAGAAGAAAGTAAGAAAAGCTCATTTACAGCTGATGTTAACAGAGGGGCACACCATACCCAGGCTGTACACTCTGCCTGAATTACAGTGTGATTATTACTGACCTTAGGCATAATGCCACATTCCAAGGGAAAATATGAACCGTGCCAGGCCCAAACTTCCTGAAGCTTAATTAAGATTATGGGAAAGTTTCACAGAATGGTTGTGATCATCTGAGAGGCAGCAGTTTTGAAAATGACTTGCCATTGTCAAGGTAGGCCATTAAATGGGTTTATAATTAAGAAATGCATGAGCTACTACTGTATGAGATTTATGCAACAGAGCATTATAATCTTTGCTGTTACTGATGCTTGTCTTCCTACAGGAAAGGGTTCCTTCTCCTGGTCCTGGGGTTGTTGTCTTATGGTGCACATCAATGTCTTCCTACTTTAGTTCCCATGTGGAAATCTTACCCCCACTGTTTAACCTGTCTCTTGCCTTCTGCTGGCATTAAACAGCTAACAGACATCAGGCTCAGTCAGCTCACTTTCTCCCATTTCTCCTGTATTTAATCTACTCTATCACACACTGTAAAGAAGATTTTTCTAAAAGGCAGATTGGGTTGCTTTGCAGAGTGCTGAAGGACAGCCCCACGCTCTCCAAGCCAAAGTGGGTAACACTTCACAATGACCTGCAAAGCACACCCCAGCCCACCTCTTCTCCTGGGGCTCTTGTTTCTGGCAGGCAGCCCCTGGAGATGCAAGCAAGGGGACAGCCACAGACTCCCCTGGGCTGCTGCACCAGGCGCTACTCTTAAAACCATTCCTGTGGGCTGGCTTTTGAAACAAAATCATCAGGAAGGCCTGAAGCAAAGCAGGGGGCTTGGAAGATAATTGACAGATTTCAATAGCGGAACTCCAATCTCTTGCCTTTTGCACAGAGTTGTCAAGAAGATGGTATCAAGACTGCTGCCACGTAAAGCTTGAGCCAAACTAAATCAAGCAGAAATTCCTAAGATTGCAGTAGTGGAAACAATGGCTCTAAAAAAAAAATAAATTGTATGACCTGAAAGATAGGACCAGGTGTGCGCTGTGAAGTGTTCAGCGTCCTGAACTCCTACCTTTGACTTCCCTTTTCAAGAAATAAAGCTCAGACCTGCACAGCTTTAACAAATGAAATGTGAGATTTCAGCTTGCATCCTCCTAATGCCTTTGGTAGCCTTGTTCTGCATAAATATCTCCTTTTTATTTCCTGAAAGCCCTTACAAGTGCAGGTGATGGGACCTGGCTTTTTTTTCAGTGATGGCAGAAGATGCAGTGGGACAGTTAGTTATGACCCGAGAGGAGCCGTAAGCCACTGTCCTTCACTGACTTTGGCAAAAAGCTGCTGAGGTTGCAACACTGACTACAGGAGGTGGTGCTCAGCTGGTGATGTGAGGAGGGCTGGGCAGGTGAGAGCCACATCTCCCTGTAAAAGAAGGCAGAGCTGTTGCCACTGCACCAGCCCCAAGAGGCTCAGGCTCTCTCTTCATGCTCTGCAGTGCTGGCCAGGCAGAGCTGCCACCCCATGGTGGCTCTCAGTCACCTTCCTCTCGTAGTCAACCTAAGTGACATAAAAGTGCAGGAGCTCAAGGGATGAATGAAACAAAGAAAGGCAGGACCATGTGGACAATAAACAGTTTATTACCAATATGAACACAGATACTGTGATGCACTGACGTACCATTTTTTTATATTGTGATAACTCTGAGACAAAGAACTTGTTGGCTGACAACTAACATGTCTCTGTTTCTTCTGGTGATGCCACAATACATTTCTGTTGGCAAAGGATCTTCATTTACATTGCAGACTACTAGTAAAATTACTTTGAAGTCATCTATCAAAAGCAAATGGTTCACGTGTGTTCTTATCTACTACTAAAAAGAAAGGTAATACATTTAAATAAGCAAATACAAAATACAAAAAAGGCTGACAAATCCAATGTGCAGTGTCAGATGAAATCTAAAAAATCCAGAAATTTAAAATTTAATATTCTTTAGATTAAGACTTTTAAAATGAAGCGAATCCAAGGCAGCAGCAAGCTTCAAAGTGTGCTGAGTCTGCTAATAAAAAGGGTATAAGAACAAAGACAGTGCCGGTGTCCTCTCTCACCATCTTGCATGACCTTGGTACACTTAGAAATGATCCAATCTTCCTAGCATTCTTAGTACCGTCCAAATGCTTTGCAATCATTATGTTGTACTGATTCTACTCAACTCCTGCCGTATGGCTAGAAAACCAAACCAGAAAGTTAATGCATAACGTTATACCCAGTGTGATGGAAAATGCTAAGAATAGAGGTTGCAGAAAGTACGCGCTGGTAAAAGGATGAGTGGAGGGTAAAAGGATGAGTAAGGGTAAGCAGTCAGCTGTTTGCTTGCAAACTGCAGTACTGGTTTAAGAAGTTGCATCTGTGGTTTATGTGAATGTCTTAATTTGCACTGGAATGAACTAGGGAGGCTTTGAGGGCCAAGCTGCTGGGACAGTAGCATACAGGCGAGGGTCTCCTCAACTGCAAACTGCTCCGAGGTTTTGTGAGCACACAGGTCTGGGGCAAGGGCACAGGGAATGAATTTTAGCTGTTTTACAGTCTCCTCTTTTTCCCCTTCTGTGTCAATCTAAGATGGGGCGTGCAGGGTGTGGACATGCATCTTCATACAGCCTAACGTGGGCTTCATATAGGTATTTTGCTACGCATTTCAGTAATGGCCCTGAAAAATACATTTAGTCATATATTGCAGAACAATCTATTTAAAAAATACTGATACATTTAGTACAGCTGTTATACTTTTCAATGAATTATAAAAATACATGTCTATTTGGAAATCTGTAATTGAGTGAAGGTCTGAAATAGCTCTTCAAGCACAGGAAGCCTACAGAAGATGCTTGGGAAGGATTTTCAGTTTGGTACCTTTGTCCCCTTTTCATCCCCGACCTGTGTGGCTGGCTAGGTACAAGCAATTTCACACTCCCTGACTGCGATAAATTGACGTGTCACGGGCTACAGGCAGGCCCTTTCTCACCCTCCCACCTGTGAGAAACACTGGCCAGTGAACTTCTCACAGGTTGGGGGTGAAAATACTTGTCAACAGCATAAAAATAAAGGATGTAAACACAATGTCACGATCAGAGCTCAGATAAGGTAGATGCTTGTTCTTCAAATGTGTATATAAATCAGATCTGCTCAGAGAAGTCTGAAAACACCAGGGAACTCTCTGCAGTTCCTATCATCTTATCTATGGGAAATTAGTCATAAAGATGAGAAAAATAATAATTTTTCTCTTTCTTACCATCAATTATCTCCTCTTTCACTTTGTGTAACTCTCTTACAACTTCCTCCAATATTTCCTGATGAGACAAAACACAAGTCAGCTGCTCAGAATTTCCTTCTAACTGGTGGAAGAAAATGCAAGTTTAACACGGTTGTGCTTGTCCCCCACCTCCACTGACGATCAGAGCCTAGCACTACTAACAGCTATGTCTGCACTCCCAGGCCAAGGATGCAGAAGATGCTGGCATATTTATTTGCACATTTTTGTACAGACATCTTGATCACATAGCAGTGAGATTGTGCTCTCTTGCTGCTCACCAGCTAGCCCTTCTCTAAGCACCTAGTTATAGAGGAAATCAGAAGACTAAACAGCTGTTTTGCTTGTACAGCGCATGCATGGGGGAAAATGGGTAGCTCATCAAATCTCTTAAGTGCAAAAGACTTTTTCACTCACCTGTTTCATTCGATCAAAATCTAAGGCATCCATAGCCACATCATTGCTGCTGCTCACTGGCTTCATCCTTGAGAAATGGAAGAAGAGCATAAAAAAGCCAGTCAGTTCCTTGCAATGCATGCGAAGCTACACCCACCTGATGGTGTGGGTGAAATCCACCCCAGTGCAGGAGCACCCACGCTGGAGTGCTGGACTGGAGGCTCCCTCTTGTGCCACTCAGGAGCGTTTGGCAGCTGGGGAGCAGCACTGCCCCCACTCACACAGCCTGACCTTCAAGATGCTGCTTTCACCTATTGCAGATATATTGGAGGGGGTGCAAAGACTGTGCTGAAACTTTTTTTTTTGGTGTTAGGAGTCTCAATGATTTTAGACTAGAAAATGCTGAGATGTCTTCAGGGGATAAAGCCTGTTTAAAAATGTATTTTATGACAGCATTTGCAATTTGCAAGCTAGGTATCTGGTTTTCTCTCACACTCTGTTTTCTCTACAGCAACCCTGCCTTGGCCACTTAGACTTTAATTGGGTGCTAAAGTAATAGTAGAATACAGGTTAGAAAAATATTGTAGGGAAAACAGTAACCTGTTAATCCTTTCCTTGGAAGGCCTGACTGAGTCAAGTGAAGCTTGCTGATAGCACTGTGAGGGACAGGCACTTCTTTACCCAGAAACAAAACCAATCTGGCCTTAATGACTAGTACACTTGGGTGTTATCAGTGTTCCAGGATGCTGTTAGTCAGTGGGCTGAATTCCGATGATGGCTGATAAAATAAATTAAGGAAGCAGAAGCTGCTTGACCTTCTCTTTTAATCAGTAACTCTAAAACATTTCCAGAGTTCACCATGCTGTATCATTTGTAGAAAAGGCTTCAAATAACTTTGCTATCATCTTTGGGCCCAAACTGGGGGCTGGAGGAGATTCTGCTTGGTCTTGCAACCCTTCCCTGGGAAAATCTTAACATGTGTCCTACCATTTCACAGCTAAACTGGGAGTTAAGACAGATACAAATACCATCCAACTGAACAGGAATGGAAACAGGTCACCGCTGAGAGCTTTTGAAACCTGCCCTGCTCCCCCCACAGAAATCATTCAAGCAAAGACTGAGCAGTATTCCAGCTGTTAAACTAGGAAAGGATTTTTCTCCCACTGAACTTCTCCTCACAGAATGGAATGGCATTGTAGAAGATAGCTGGTGAAAACTTGATGGCTGCTTTAAATAGCCTGTTTCACTCCCATTTGCAAGGAGAAGGAATGGTCCTTCTATATCTGTTTGAAACTCTCACATATTTCCCCAAACCAACGTGTTCCATTGGTTTTAGGAGAGCTGGAGAGACTTTATTTTGCTCTAGTAACAGTGGTGCGTCCCTCCGAATATTTGGGCAGGGCATATTCCAGCATCTTTAAGACAGCAGCAAGTATGTGCAGATAGTTGCCACTGGCAACTTTCTCTATGCAGACTATCAGCACTGTCGTATATTTAACAGTGTAAAATAAGGAATTTCTCTTTGCAGTAAATGCTAAACATACCTACTCCTGTGTTCTACCTCCTTATTCAGCTTATCCATCCATCTCAGTGTCCAGTACTGCAGTAACACTGGTGGTCCTTGACCAGCACTGGAAGGAAGTGTCTCTTTAGCTGTCCAACATCAAACTTTACCTCAGTCTCTGTGGGTAAGAACATGGGTGGTGATACTGCAGCTTGGCTGGTCTGACCAACAGGACTTTTAGAGTCCTACTTTAGGCTTCTTGGCTTTTGACACCTGCCAGCTTCCCATATTTCTGAATGCCTGTCTGTGGCTGGGCCTTTTTACAGCTTGATGTTGTTAACTTACTGCACCAAGCTTTGCTCTCGTTTCTCATGCACTCACTGCAGTTGCATGGATGGAGGAATAACTTCCCTTCTGCCAGCTCTAGGCTCTTCAGATCATTTCTGCCTTTGGTTTTGAATTTCTGCAAGGTTGGACAATGAAAACTTCTCCTATTGGCAGGGTCATCCTGAATCTGCTGTAAAAAGATGCTCCAAAACCTGCCTCCCACATGGCACAGTGCATTGCCAAGCCCATGCTTCCGATTCATGAGCACGGATGCATTAAGCGCTTGATTAAGTGTGATTAAATTCTGTGATGCTTGTGCCCACCTGAGCAGAGGGCTGTTTCCATGGAACAAGCCTTTGACATGACACACTACCTTCACACTTTATGCAGTGACAGACAAAGCAGATTGTAAGAGAATAAGTAAAAGACATGACAGAATATGAACATTAGTGCTGAATGATGGGATTAGCCAAAGGACAAGCCAAGATGGTTAAGAAGCTGGGCTGTTAGCCAGTACCTAGAAGACACGTGGGATTGCGTGGGGCTCTTAGCTTCACAGCTCTTCACCACTGATGGATTTCTACAGCAATGGAATGAAACGAGACATGAGTTGTGCACGTGCCACAGGGACAGCGTGACCATCCTGACTGCTAGCCTGATGCAGGGACCCCTCGTGCAGCTCACCTAGAAAGTAATGAAGATACAGGCTTTTCCACAGAATTGCTCCTTTCCCATGGCTTCTTCCCAGAGTCTGGAAAACAAAAATGAAAAGTTATTGGTTTTTTTTTTTTAACTCTAATGGTAAAAAGATCCTGAAGTTGGTTGTCTTACACAACTACTTTCATTCAGTGAGGATGAATTACTTAGAAAGATCCAGGAAAGCAGGATTGCTGAATGAGTGCAATTGCCTACATTACAGAGAAAGCACTGGCAAGAATCTGCTTAGTGATCCCTTTAATTAGGTATTGCATAGTTGAATGATACTAAAAACACATGGAACTGGGACAATAGGAGGAAGAATGTAAATCACTTCTATGGTGAAGGGACTGGAGCACATGTCATATGGGGAGCAGCTGAGGGAACTGGGGTTGTTTAGTCTGGAGAAGAGGAGGCTGAGGGGAGACCTCATCGCCCTCTACAGCTCCCTGAAAGGAGGTTGCAGAGAGCTGGGGATGAGCCTCTTTAACCAAGTAACAAGTGATAGGGCAAGAGGTAATGGTCTCAAGTTGCGCCAGGGAAGGTTTAGACTGGATATTAGGAAGCATTTCTTTACAGAACAGGTCATTGGGCATTGGAATGGGCTGCCCAGGGAGGTGGTGGTGTCCCCATCCCTGGAGGTGTTTAAGAGTCGGGTCAGCATAGCACTGAGGGATCTGGTGTAGCTGGGAACTGTCAGTGTGAGGTTAATGGTTGGACTGGATGATCTTCAAGGTCTTTCCCAACCTAGACGATTCTGTGATTCTGTGATATTAAGAAATACAGGCTAATTGCTGCAAGGCTTATTTTATTCAGTACAATACTTATTTATATTTTAAGTTAGAAAGTCTTTGTTTTTTTGTCTGCATAGTGGGCAGAAAATGTGGGTTTATCTAAAAAAAGGAAGTGAGACCCTTACTATGCAAATGTCCACATGAATTTATTTAATATTGTCTGTATTTCTAACTCGCAGAACATTCCCAAAAGCTGCATGACATAACCCTTCTTACTGAAAATGCTTACTATCATCCCAGTCTCCTCCTGTGCAAATAGTCAAAAATAAACTGTTTCAGAGACCTGAATAGCACACAACTTCATATACAAGGGTTTGCTCCTCTGTGAGGTCATAAAAAGCTCTTTATAAGAATTATGGGCACTCCCAGGAAATCTCTAGATCTCGTTCCTCATTTACATGCACCTTTCTCCTGGCTTCTTCCCCTTCCCTTGCAAAGCATGCAAATCATGGCTTTGTTCCAAAAGGAAGCTGGAATGGTTAAGTACTCACTCCCTTGAGAGAGATTTCTTTGAGCATGTATGAAAGCCAAGGCTGATGCAAAGATAAATCTGACTGGCTTATAGCTTATCTACTCAGATACAGTTATTTCAACTCATCATAAGAAAAACTATTTTGGGAGCTCCTTAATTTCACCTAGTAACTCTCAAGATCAGGCTTACTGCAACAAGCGACTAGGTTAAGGAAGGATAACAGTTTGAAACCCAAACCCCAACTGTTTAAACCAGGACAGCTACACTACCAAAAATAAAATAATATAGCCTTTCTCTCAGAAGATTTAGGTACACAATGTTGAAGATACAGATCCTGAGCTACACGACTAGATCCCGTTAACTAAACTGGCTGTGTGGTAATTTTCTTGGCTGTGAAGCGTATAAAATCACAATTTCTTGCCAAGTACAGTTTTTTAAACAATAGGTATTTATGAATTTTTCTGTTAGTTACTGCTGCTGCACTCAGAAGTAGGATGAACTGAGTCTAGAGGTGGCGGAGAAGACTGTAAGACAACTACAACACTAGTAGTTCGATTTAATACCTGACGAATTTTGCTGCTGCTGGGTGGGACCTCGTGTACTGGGTGAAGGAGAGGTGCTAGCATCATCCTACAAAGAGAAAAACAGGACATTACTGAATTCTGGGGACAAAGTGAAGAGTCCTCTTCTACCCTGGAGACCAGCTGCAGCACAGGTGCTACAAAAGCAAGTTTCCTTCAAGCATGTCCAACAGGCACTGCTGCCAAGGTGAGGGCTAAAGTACATTTAAACTTTAACCTCTCACCCCCTTTAACATGGTAAAATACATCCTTTTTATTTTTTGCTAATATGGGCATCTTTTCATGATTCCACTCAATCACTCCCATCCCTGTATACAAAACCAGGCTGAATTACCACTCTGAAGTTTTGGCTGCTGTTGTCTAAATACAAACCATACATTTCCCAAATTTAGAAACTCTGTGATAGGGATACTGAGCCATCTGAAGGAACAGTGGGTCAGATCCCAGCTTTTCATCCCAGGACAGCCTGGTATCAGTAAGAGTGGTCCAGGTACTAACAGAATGTAATTAAATCAATCAATACTTCTCCTACGTATAAGATTAAACACTACATCACAGAACTGGACTCTTTTTTTTTTTCTGGGATTTATGTATGAGAGATCATAAAACATTCACCCATATATTTGACATGACAATATTATTTAGCAGCACTCAAAACACAGGCACAACATTAACTGTTAAAAGGAATTGCACCCAGTTTAACAGAAGATACCCCTATCACAAAGTGTACTCAAGACACACATTAAACAGATGTTATCTGAAAAACCTTTCTAAACACTTTGGTGCTATCAAAAAGTTTGATTTGGGATATAAACTAATGCAGTGTTTCAAGGAGAGAGGACAGCAGAGGCTGAATAGTTAGAAGCTAAATGGTGCCTTTCATCTCTGAGTGCATGGTTCAATACCAGCTTTGGGGCAAGGTTAAGAGCAATGGTTGCATAGTGCGTTAATAGGCAAATTCCATCCTTGAAGCATCCCTTGAGGAACATGCAAAAATTAGCTGGTTTTCTCCTTAAAACGGTGCAAAGTGCTTATTCCTGGTCTTGCTACAGACCTTTCAGACTGGGGCAAGACGTACATTTGGTGAATGAATTTCCTACTGAGCAACTCTTACTTTGTTTTTAGAGGGAATCATTCTCTGTATAGGCGCTATGAGGAACACAATATGCTTTATGAAGTTGCAGCTGTGGCAGAGAGCCTTCATGAGGGTACTGGCTAGCAGTGGGAATGCTGTATGAGCAGCACCCCAGAAAAACAGCACATGAGAAGGGACACAGCATAAATCCTGGCCTCTTGAAACTGGAAAGATCTCCCATGCTTTACCACTTCAGTGGGAAAAAAGTGTTTTAACTGCACATTGAACTCAAAATTGCTGCATCAAGTTCAGTGTAAAGACTGAGTCAAATCAAAGCTCTTGTTGAATTGCTTTGTGGACAACATACAGACAGAACAGTTAAAACAAAAATGAATCAAAGTTCCCCAGATTCCATCTCATTTCACTGTAGGTATCATGAACACATATTTTAACTTTTGAATGGTCTAACGGTTAATACACTGTTTCTCCTTCACCTCCCCAGAGACATGTTTTATGTGCACTCTGGGGTCTGAAGTGAGCTGATTCTCGCTTTGCATGGAGGCTGGCAATCCAAAGTTATACCACATGGCTGATGATACACTTCAGCTTCACTGAAGCTGCAAATTTAAAATAAGAAACATGAACTTGATCTCAAGTTGATTTGCCAAAATGTTCAATGCACCTTCTTAAGGGGCAAGAATCTACTGTACCCTACAACACTCAGATCAGACCTTGAGAAAATGCCTGTGAACATGGTTTGGATGATACCTCACCTATGAATAAGGCAGCAATTCTTGTCTATAGGGTGCTGTTCCCCAGAAAGGTGGAAGCAGTTACATTTAGCTTTTGACTGAATGCGCAAATCTATTCCTGGATCAGCAGTGCTTGTCACTGCCTGCCACACACAGTGAATGAGCACAGGACTTTGGCTTGCAAGGCAGCACATCAACATATTTGCAAGAGCACAACAGTGAGGAGTCTTTCACTTACATTTTGGCTTTCCTCTTCCTTTTTGTCAGCTGGCTTGTCTGACTGCGACGCTGCTTTCCTCCTTTTCAAAGGAACATGAGATAGAACACACAGTCAGCCCCCTAAAAACACATCCTCCATGTGGGAAGGCTGATTCAGGCTCTGGTGGGATTTATTATTTACTTAGGTCATCCTAGCGAATGCAACAAATGGATGTATTTGGTTGTGTAGGATTGGGGTGGAGGTGAGGAATCCAGACCTCAGCAATATGACTCGGGGAGAGGGTCAATACTATAAGGTGGTGTTTAACAGAGGAATTCAGGGTGCAGAGCACAAGGAAATATGTTGAAGCAGAGGAAGGAAGCGCAGCTGGTTATGTAACTGGGTGAGAAAGGGATGGCTTCTCTCTAGGGCTCAGGAAGTGCTGGGTCCTCTGTCCCACATAAGAGAAACAACCCAAATACCCCCAAGGGGTTTCTGAGAACGAACCCAACCTCCCCAGGTGGCTCAGGGGGGTATTTTAGTGATGACACTTCACAGTCAGCTCCAATATAATTTTGCCACCTGTCCTGTGTCCTCTCATCTCCCACCAAGAGAAAGGGCTGTAGCAGTGCTCCCATGTGATGGGAAGACAGTCAGAAAAGCCCTTCAACCCCAGGAAAGATCAGGCACCATTTCTACTCAGCCAAGACCCCAGCTCCCTCGAGGGCAGGAAAGCTCTGGCTGGAGACCAGGAGCCAGGAATCGAGTGCACCAGCCTGGGTTTTCAAGTGCCTTTGAGGAGTGACAGGAGATTACTGCTGTCTCAAATCCATTTCAAAGGCAGCAGAGGTCCTGGGCCCTGTAGTCTCAGGACTGGCAGTGTTGGTGGTGCCTTAAGAAGCTGAGCACAGACCTGAGACCCTCACTCTGTCCTGCTTCCCAAGGAGAGGCAAAACTCTCCGAGAAGCAAGTGGCAAAGAGCTGCAATCCATCCACTGGAGCAATTGGACACAAGAGTAAACAAAGATGTTGGTTGTTTATCTTTCAAGAACGCATGGTAAAACTTCTTGGGTGTTAGCCCCACTGGCTGAAGAAAAGAAAACCAAATTGTTGATTTTCAAGCCTTATTTAGGGTCTAAACAGTATTCAAGTGCGTCAGGTACTGATTCTCTAGACATCCAATTTCCCATTTTAGACATTTAAGGGAACTGCAGCTGTAGTCTCCACATAGATTTTGGTTGTGATGATTTTTATCCTTATCCACCTGTGAATACCACCCTTAGCAGATGTTTTTTCAAACAACAATATGACAGGTTTTTCATTTAGTCTTCCTTCCGAAGTGGACAAAATTAATCACACAGAAGAAAACAGTAGGCCCAAGTGGTGCTTAGAAATGCTTCTGAGTTTTGAAACACTGCCACAAGTTTGTGAAAGGATTTTTTTTCATATCACTGGCAAAAGGAAACCCTCACTTGATACACAAATTGGAGGATTTGATTTGACAAAAAACCAGAGCAGTAAAATATGCATGTGTTTGTAGGACACTGGTCTGTGGAAATTATTTTCAGATATTTAATTGCATTACTAATTTTATTAGACCAGTAATAATTTTTATAGTCTTTCTCCAATATTTACTTGATTCTTCTGAGGAAAAGAGGTTATAATGATTACAAACCTGAGCAAGGAAAATATTTAACTGGGTGAGAGACCAGTGTTAGATTGATGTCCTCCAGCAAACTTAACTGGGCTGGAAAGGTAGTCATTTGTGAGATGGTTCATTATTCTGCTTGCACTTCAATCCTGAAGCAAAGGGCTGCTCTCACAGGGGCCACTAAATCTAGAGAGTCGTATTTTATACCACCTAAGCTCTCAGAATCATTTTCCTCTGTTACTTACCCAGCATTGGACACATTCCCTGTTTCTGAGCATGTGGTTTTCTGCTCAGAAAAGGGCTCCTGAGATCCCATGCTCATCACTCAGTAATTCCTGTATTGAACAGGCTCAGTTTAAAAAACATCTTTTTTACCTCCTGGTTGCTAATTCGGTAAGTGCAACCTGAAACGTAGTGCCAGGTTCTTTCCTTTCTCTATGTCATCACATGCAGCCAAAAGAAGTCCTCTGTATCAGTTTAACAGCATGTGCCCAGATTGCACCCTTGACTGATGCTTGTGTATTTCCAATGACTTCCATGGCTTTGTGAAGCAAAATTTAGGAGACAATTCTGTTGCTATCAACTCCCTGGGAAAGGATTTGCAGCTCAATTATTTTCAGAGTAGAGGCAGCACAGTGCTCATGTCAGTACAGGTGCTTTTGTTAAGATAGAGAGGGGATTCGACCCTGAACACCTGAAGACATCAGATCCCACTGCTAAAAGCCATACTGGAGTGCATTTTAGACTAGAACCACAAAAATGTTTAGGATTTCTATATCCAAGCATATGAAATGTCCATTTAGCTTTCTTGCTTGAACAGAGCTAGTTCCCCAACATCTAGTCACCAAGCTTACTTTGCTTACAGACACCTTCCAGTTCAGCAGGGTCAGTCTTGATATGTAGCAACACAAAACAGATCAGAAGGTGAACCAGTAAATAACTATTAAACTATTTTAGTTCTGAAAAGAGAGAAAATGATCTATTTGGTATTTTACACTGCTGATACATTTTTATAGTGCATATTTATTTAATGTTTTTGAAAGGATTGCATCCACAGTCCATGTTCAGAATTTCTTTTGAAACAACAAGGACATGGAGGAAAGTTGGAACAGACCCTCTGAACTGTGAACTGTTTTTATCCTAGATAATGCTACTTAAAAAATCCGTCTCTGCACACTATACAACTGTAACCACTCTTCATTATTCTACTCATCCTTTTCTTTCAGTATTCATAAGCTAAAAAATCTTTAGAGCGAAAACCAAAACATTTAACAATAGGAACCTGGGAGTTACAGTCTGACAGAATATTACTGATGGAATCGGGGGGAAAAAAAGAAAGTAAAAATAATTGGAATAATTGAGTGCCTTTTAACAGCTGTTAGCTTGACACATCACAACTTGCTTTAGTGGAGAACAACTTGACTAGACTGCCTGAAACACACTGAGAATCAATAATAATTTACCTGCCAAGATGTTGTCCTTTTATTGCACTTCTGTTCATATTTTTGGGCCCAACATCCTGAATGTGCTGCATAAAGAACGATTTGTCTAAGCTCCTTTAATAGTTTACTCTTTCTGAAAACAGTAACTTTGAAATAGATCTCGTAAAACGGCAAAATCCCAGAGGATATATTTATCACCATCTTTGAAGGTTACCATGATGCAGGATTTGCTACAGCAGCTAAACTCTGCCAGGTATCATTGCTGCACCAGCTACACTTTCATATTAAAGGCCAGGCAATGCCGGCAACTAACACGTATGCAGGACCTGTCAAATTGCAAAGCATCATCAAAGTGACCACTGCTAATCAAAAATGACAGCACCTTGTTCCAGTTTGCTGCAGAGCTCATGCTAGTGCTTACTTGCAGTCTAAGTACAAACCTTTTTGCCAGTAATTTATTCATTTCTTCCATTAGTCCTCCTCCGCCTCCTCCACTACTTGTTCGATTGGCATCGCTCTTAGAGACCCCACTGGGGCTGGACCCTCCGGAACCGTCTTCTGGCTTAAGACAGAAATCAGCATTGGAATTAATGAACAGTTTAATTTACAACCATACCCTTAATGATTAGTTTTCCTAATTATTAAGAACAGTGATCACAATCACAGCCCCAAAACAATGACAGAATGTGTTCTGCTCTGGGAAGAAGACCCACATGGACCTTACTAAACCCAGGAACAGTCTGGGTGAGGCAAATGTATGGGCAAATGATGAAAAATGCTACAGTGTTGTTTGTTCATGGTTATGTTTCCACATGGTTACTCAACCCTTACCTAAGTGAACACCTATTGACATGAGGCCTCAATAGCCTACACTGTTTTTTGCAAGCATGATGCAGTTTTAACCACTTATAATGACTGAAAACACTAACAGATAGCACAATGGCTGACTCTGTAGAAGTAATGAAATCCTGGCAACATGAGAACTTGCAGCCATTTGCTAATTAACATTTTCTGAACAGCAGGATACTGCCAAACATTTCCTGCTCAGCTTTACTCGCACTACAAACTCACATTTAAAAGTTCACCTAACGGTCAGCTGAAGCATGTTTCACCATGTTTCACGCTGGATTTGCAGACCATTACACGAAGCTGTGCCAGGCTTTCCTGCAGTGGAGAAGAGCCCTTTGGGGAGTCCCAGTGGCACCTCCTTACCCGTTGAACTCTCCTTAGTTTGGCACCAGCCAGAGCCGCTGCAAGCCCTGACACTGACCCATCTTCAGTGCCAGCCCCTTGGCCAGCACCTGCCGGCAGTGGAGGCGGCGGGGGGGGTGCAGCTCCCATGGGTGGCGGAGGGACTGGGGGGGGTGGCGGAGGTGGGGGCCCCCCGGACGAAGCAGGGATCACAGCAGTGCCACTGGGATGACCAGGTGGAAGTGCTGGGCCTGAAAAGCAGAGAATACAAATTAGATGTGAAGCAGGATATCCTCCAGCCCATACACAAGGTCACATCCCCGCTCCCAAGGCCATGACCTGACTGCATGACGAGGGATCAATGCAAGGAAGCACCAAGCATGCAGAAGAAGAGGAAACGGTGGTTGCATCAATGGTCAATTGGCTACAGTTTGCTCTCCTGCAAGACCCTGTCACTGATAAACTAGCCTTCTCTTTCCTCTTCTCCCCGACTGGGCTAGTGTTTTATTCTGTGCTGAAATAAAAACACAGACAACACTTCCCAATTCATAAGTGGCATCTTCTGCTTCTCTCAGAGCTTTCTACATGGAGATAAACTGCATCTGCCAACTCCATGGACATCGCTTAACATCAGCTTTTCACCAGAATCATGGGCTACAATGCCAAATCCTCCTTTCTGTTGAACAGAAGGTGTGCGGCCTCAGCTGGTCTTGAAAAAGAGTGGGGGAAGACTCTAGCTCCAAGCACCCCAAGGTACAGCAATGCTCCTCGGAGCAGCAGCCTGTTGGAGAGGCCGATGGTAGGTAACTCCGTTGCAGTGTTCTGCCCATCTGTAATGTGTCAGCTGAACAAACACACTTCTGCAAGGGTATTTCCCCATGTTACGCTCTCTCAGAACAGGCTGCTCCTAATATATAATCACAGGTTCAGCTGTTCAGTAAGTGTTATTTTGAAAGACAGGCGGGTTTTGACTGAGGAACATTTGGAAACTGTATTTAATGTTAGCAGCCTGGTTTTCTTATCTAGGTTTTCTTACAATACTGCCTTATTTTGTGGTTACTCTGCCATTATTTCACACTCCCAACTCCATTCTTGAAATGAACCATAGCTACTATTAGAAATATTTTAAATGTTTCAAGTTCTCTTTGGTTCACAAACATAATAGCTAGTAATTCATTGTGGGTACAGTTAATTGTAATTGCAAAACTACACCCACCTAATTAGATGCCAGCCTGAGGCAAAAATTGAACAGAGTCAAAATAACGGACTGATGTGAGTTTAAAATAATTTTATTGAACTAAGTGGTTTTCAAGGACTTATATCAGCTGAAGGACTGAGCCTCCAGCGGTTGCAGTAATATTTTTAGCAGAAAGTGAAAGGAAATGTCTTAGTTTTCTTCCTTTTCTAGGCACATAATTTAAGCATTATATGTGGTTATAAACAGGAATGGATCCAAGTCACAAAACGTATGATCTGAATTGCAAATAGGCATTACTCTTAACTGTTCTGACTCTGAAGGCTTTAGACAAGCACTAGAAATCAAGACCATATGCAAAGTGGCATACCTAAGCTCTTGATCTGCCTGCAAAGAAAAAGGTTTGCTGGAATAGTGACAGTGACAAGCCCTCAACTATAAATGCAGTTTATACCAGGAACAGAGTTTCTACAATTAAATAAATTACACGAGCACAGGGAATTCTGGGTAACTATAACAAAATCTGTGTTATATCTTTTGCTGCTAACAGAAATACCATTTAAGAAAAAGAATAAAAATCACAATCTCTATCAGTATTGCTACACAGACAACAATCTACCATAGACCTGGCCTCCAGCTTCAGAAGAGCCCGTCTGCTATGTTTGAACCAGCTGAAAATAAGTTTTCTACGAAGCTTGCTGCCAAATGCAATTTGATTCTGCTGAATGATAAAAATCTCCTTCTGGGCTAATACAGTAAGAATATGCATTGCAACAATCCAGCTACAGGGCCTTGGTCTTACAATTCTTGCTTTTTGCCTTGCTTTTAGCCCAGAAGGTCCCTGGACCAGTCCTGAGTGATTTTGATACTTTTCCACCTTGGTTTCAGAAACCATGTACAGCAGGAACAGCCTTGGGTCTCTCCACCTTTTTTCTAGCAGTCACAGGCAGTGTCAACCAGGCTTTTAAAAGCTAAGGCTTTATACAGGTCACAGCTCATTCAAAAAATCAGTACTTACTCATGTGAGCAAAAGCTGATGAAGTCAGGTAAGGAGGAGTCCTCCTGGGCATAGTCACCTCAGACACAGCAGCGTAAGGGGGAGGCAATGGAAGACAGTGTGACATGGGCTGATACCACTGCTGTGGAGGACGAGATGATGGATGGGAGGATGGGGAGGGAGCCTGGCCAAAGGACCTGGGGGAACTGGGGATGGTGGGCAATGTGGAGGAGGGTGCAGCTCCTTGATGTGGAAAGGAGGACCCAACCATGCTTTTCAGCTGGGTCCCAGAGGGGCCTAATGCACTTTGTTCTTCAGGATGGCCATTCTGAGGTATGTTTGCTGAGGTCTCTTGGCCTGCTTTATCTGTGGGTGCCTTGACCCTGTCAGGCAGGACAGGAATCACAGGCAGGATGGTGGGACCACATGGCTGCAGGACATCACCCCTCTACACAGGTGGTGCATTTGTGGCAGAGGAAGCAGAAGACTGAGGAGAGCATGAAAGAGAAGAGCACCTGAAAGGCTGGTGAGAGGCTAAGGGAAAGTGGGAAGGATGGGGAGGTAGGTGGTAGAGACAGTGAGGTTCGTCTGATGCCTGGCATTATGGTCCTGTGGTTCGGGCAGGCTGGAGGAACCTGGGGCCGTTGGCAGCTCAGAGGCCAAATGCCTGTGCAGGAGCTGCAGGGGATCTCTGGCTCTTTGCAGGGATCTGAAAGAGGATTGACTAGTGGGCTCAGGGACAGCGGGTGCTGAAGAGACAGCATTGGCATGAGGTAGTGATGGTGGCACAGCACCAGAGGCAGAAGCACCACAGTTACTGCAGGTGGGAGGAGGAGACTGGGGCTGAGAGGGGGGAGAGCACACGCTTATCTGAAGGGTGGAAACTAAAAGAACAGAAAAGACAAGAGAGTAAGATGGCTACACGGCAAGGAACGAAACTGAGGCAAAGCGGAACGGAGAAAAAGGAACCGTGAAGTAAACGCAAACAGAAACTCAAACAAAGCAAAGAGGAGACGGTGCAGGCATTGGTTTGGTGTTTCCAACCCCTGGCAGAACCAGAGGGCTGTGCGGAGCTGGACCCTGGCAGCACGGGATGGGCTGTGTGCTCCCCCCAGTGCCATGCGGAGCAGGACCCGGGCAGCAGGGGATGGGCTGCATGCTGCGGTGCCAGTGAGGCTCCTCCAAGTCCCAGGTGCATCTGAGTCACCATCAGGAACATCACTCTTGCACCACGGGTAGCTGCAAGGGACATGTTGAACACAGCGGTGGCCACCTTGTAGCCAGGGTGGGAACAGCCAGAAGACCTCAGGAGCCACTGCTTGTGGATGCCGAGACAGGATTTTGGCTATGTTCCCTATGCAGAATAGCACACAATCACCTATACCAAAACAGAAACTTCTGTTGCTGACTAAGGTATGTGTGTATGTCTGAGCCGGTTTCAAGTCAAAACCTAAAAAGTTGTAACAGCTAAGGAAAACCATTTCACTGATATGGCCAGATTAACTGAAAAAACTTCCCCAAAACAAAAGCCCAAACACAAGATGGCCATCTTGGCTTGCTTGCTCTGCCTTCTTTCAGAGAAGCAAAGCCATACTTTGTAGCTATAAGCTATTTCTGTCATCTCTCAGCTTAGTGAAACTTAATATGCTATAGAAGATTTTTGTAAGCTCATTAAATATATATATTTTTTCCATTAAGTTCACAGAAGACTCCTCACTTCATGACCACAAAACCCCCACCGATGAGCATCTAGAGCTATATTTAACTCTGCACTGTAGTTTGCTTTGTGCTGCAGAGTGATGGGGAGCGCCTGACCTGGCACATCAACCCTTTCATGCCAACATCTCCTGGAAACATGGAGTCACTCTTGCGGTGCCTGTGCTGCCTGCTCTCCTTGCGGGTGTGGAAGAAGCATGGCCATGTCCCCTTGGTACACCTAAAATCTCCCTCAGCAGTACAAGTTTTGCCAAGTGCAAAAACCTGCCTAGCACCACCTACATGCCCTGGACCTGAGTCTCTGCAAAACAACACAACCATGTCCAACGCATGTACATCCCTAGTTGAAAGTGCTTTAAAATCTAATCATAACTATAACCACTTTTAGCAGTCTAACTCTTGTACAGCACCATGCAAAAGTCACGTACAGCTAGAGGAGATAAGCAGGGAGAGGCTATATCTGGTTGATTTGATACATGCCTGTGGTAGAGGTTCTTCTTTCCAAAGATTCCTGGCGCTGTTGCTGTTGCTCCATCACTTGTCTAAAACAGCAATGAAAAAAGCCTCAGACATTATGTATTCGTTATCATTTTGAGTAAAAGCTTTACACGCTGAGAAGCACTCAAGCTGTATGTCTCGGGAGGAGTGAGGCAGTCCCTCACAGCAATGCTGATCCCGTGAGATGGAGGTGGGTTTGATTTCCCTTGCCCTGGCCACAGCAGTGCCACTGCACACCTTGGGGAAGTGTAACCAGGACACTGCCCTGTACCTGTCTGACACTGCAGGGGCTGTGATCCACTTAAGCAAACCCCTTGATGGGCTCTCATGAGGAACAGTCAGTGCCCAAGGCCCTGCCACGTGTCATTAACCTCAAGTGCATAAGTATTGCAGGGAAAGAGTAAGGGGTGTCTTGCATACACAGTCCCGAGTCATTTAATGATCAGGAGCTCAAAGGACTTGTAGTTAGAATGAAAATAGAACAAAGCTTGATCTGTGTCTAGACGCTGCCTGTACAAGCCGTTTGTCCAGGTGCACAGCCAAGCCTGCGTGGGCCCGGGGCAGCCCGGCTGCCAGCCTGGCACCCCCGCTCCTCACAACACTGCGCTGCTGCTTTCTGGGCACCTTCCCCCCAGGAGCTGCTACCTCCCGCGCTACCCAGGCCTGGTGTCCCACAGGGAATCCCAGTGCCAAGCCCTTTCCCGGGCCGTGCTTCCCAGGGATGTGCAGTTCCCGGGGCCCAGCAGCAGAGGTCTTCTCTCGCCCGCCGTAACGCTGCTGCAGGAAGAACCGTCACCCAGCCCTGCCACAAACCCTCCCTGGCGTTTCTCATCAAAAAGACTGATAGCTAAAAACTAGAGTATTTGCCAGGCTTTTTGCCATGGGCATGGGTATGGACTAAAGATTTCAGCAATACTAAAACACAGCTCGGAAAGTACCTTACTGAAGCACTTGGTAATAAGGTTTATTATAATTTTCTTCCATGGTTTTTAGGCCAAGTTTGTCTTGAATTTCTGCCATGTCTGTTTAGGCCAGTCAACCACATAGAGGTCTCTCTTTTCTGCAACAGCTTTACTTCATGGTCTGTACAGTAAGGTGAGATTAACTAAGCAACGCTCTTATTTTGATTCCTTATGTAATATTTTAGAGACCTCCCAGGTACATTTCCATTTGTACTTTCCCTAGTTTTAAATAATTCTATCTTATTTACATACCAATAGAAGCTTTTTTTTAAGAAATAAAGCCCAGAAAAGTAAAGTTACATTATGTAGGAAAAAAAGAATGTCATAATTTGCAAAAAAAAATAATTTCCCGTCTTTCAAATTCTAATTCAAAAGATGGGAAGGGAAAATCCACAATTTTGCTGTGGAGGGATCAATCCTAAACTGGTTTTATGTTCAGGACATGCAACTCATTGAACATAGGCAATTTCTGGAAATCTTTTACAGGCATCTGAGAAAATTATTGTATGTGCAAAGGGGAAACAATTTTGAGGAACAGCCTTAGTTGGCTGATTCAACTGGTTTCATTTAATCTATGACAATTTAAACCAAATAAATAGAAATCTTTTCTTCAATACATACCCTGACTTATTTGATAGCTATAGGATGAGCACATATGCACAGCATCAGTTGCACTACTGCTAAAATTTCAATTGTAAACACATGTACTAAGAATTCCCTAAGCACACTGTCCCCTACAATAGCTTAGCATTTATTAGCAAAATCTGATGATGACAAACGACTTGACACATATATTTTCTTCATTAAACCTGGGCGAAATTCTAGGTTTATCTGGAGGACAGACTTGGAAAACTCCAGCCTGACAGGCCAGTAAAGAATAGGAGTAAGATGTCTCCACATTAGAGTCACTGCAGAGAGGATACATGTGCCAGGCTGCTCCCCAGAACAAGGGTCATCCGCAGCCATTTCAAATTGTTGGGGTTCATGCCAGCCCTGTCTGCCCTTGGGCAGAAGCACTTTATATGTGCCAAGTACACCCTCCCACACGTGCTAAAAGGAGAAGCTCTTACACCCTTAGGAAGTCAAATATATTCCAGTGGAACTAAATAAAGACTGAGATTGGCACAAGGCTACTTAAGGAGTATGCAAGGAGTAAAGTACAAGAGGGGACAAATTATACCCTCTGACTTAAAAATATATTTTTTCAACATTGTATAAAGATCTCTAAAAAACCTTTTAAACAGACACATTTGCAGGGTAGTTACCAGAACTTTATTTCCTTGCCTGCTTGTCCAAAAAAAGCCAGGCCTAAAATTAGGTCTGCTCTACACTTAAAGAATGCATCAGCATAATTAAAGCTGAAAATCCTCTAGTGGAGATACAGTAATAGCTAAGTGCATCTACTGCCATAGCTTATTCCAGTCCAGTGAAGCAAAAGAAGCTTCCCCAGAACTATGTGACTTATAGCAGTCAAATAATACCTACCCAAAAGGCTTTTACTATCTCTAAACAGAAAAAATAAATAAAATCTTTTTTTTTTTTTTCTAAGGCAGTTAGGTGGCTCACACTTTAAATGTACAGACCAGACATCTAAATTTGAGGGCTGTTACATAAGGTCTGAAGAATCAGTGATTTCCACTGGTTAAATGAAGAGCTGGATCAGGTCTCTGAGGCAGGCAGTGGGGACAGGTGGCGTACCCCATGCCTCTGGGTGAGTAGGAGCTTTCCTCTGACCTTTATGATAGCTCTGCTATCCCAAAGTAAATCTTGCAAATCTCGAGTGAAATATCATTACCTGCTGACCCATTTAATGGTCATATGTAAACCCCTACCAAATCTCAGACCATTCAGAGTTATTCACAAAGGCACAAGGAACCAGTTCCCTTACAATTTCCTTACAGTTTCTGGAGAGGGAAAGAGAATCCCAAGTACTTTCTACAGCCTGTGTAAGGGCCTTGTCTTAAATGATCTATATGTGGTTTTGTATAGGTGCAGGTCAGAATGGTAGCCCTGGAGCATCAATGCAAACAATATACTGTAACAGTCCATCTCTGCTGCTCCAGGAGCACGTGATATTAAGCTACACAACCCACAGGGCCAGGGCAGTCCCTGGATCCTGCAAAGGGGACCGGTGCCTGCTTCCAGGTTACACCTGGAAATGAAGGCAGAGCCCACTCAGCGCCTGTCATGTCAGACCAACATTCGACATCTTTGGTGATGAACTGCCCCTGCAGGTCTGGTTCCACTGAAATACTTACAAACCCATTTACTAGCTGAACCAAACACTGGGCCACATCCTCTGGCGGGCTAACTGTGCTCTTGCTGATTATCCTCTTGTTACAGAAGCAGACACAGACACCTTATTTAAACAATGCCAGCACCCAGTTTAGAGCAGCAACAGGTCCTGCTGACTGCTGTACTCCAGTGCACTCCTGATGAAGCTGACTAGCTCACAGCTACCCATGTCATGGCAGAATATTCTGCAGTGTTTCTTACACAGGAGGAGAAACATACTTGCAGTGAGCAATGGGAACACAATATGGGAAATTCCCAATATGGAAAACAAAGGTGATATTTTGTGTGCACAAGCCTATATTTCAACAGGGAAGCACAAGTCTGGATAAGCAGTGCTGCTGGCATGGACACCACCAAAGACTGGCAGATCACAGCTCTGAGAGCATGGACTACCGGTCAGACTAGAAGACTGTGTCCAGAATGGGACAGGTATGTCTTCTTCTTAGTGAAGGAAGCTGAAGATGCTGCTGCTACTGGGATCTTGGCTGGATCAGCAAAGCTGAAATGAGATGGGCCTTATAATTTGATTATAGAGATAAGCATATGAGGACGGACTCTCCTGCCCACCTTCCCTTTGATGTCAAGGAGACCACTCCCAGTGGCTAGAGAAAAGGCCATCTGTAATAATGGCACTAAGTCTAGACATACATGTAAAGGTGAAGGCTATGACTTTACACTTTCATTTATTATCCTGGTGAGACCAAAACATTCATAAAATGAATGGCATATAATATAGAAATAGCCATATGCAAAATGGGCCTTTAAGCTATTACTGTTGGTATATATGGTCCATCAGATGCTCCCTGGGCAATGTGACTGTCAACTGCCAGCAGGTGATCCAGAACCAGGTAAGGTTAGGCTTTCTTAATGTGCTTCAGAAACACACAACCAACAAATTACTTTTAAACATGTTTTAACTCTGAACATCAGCATGCCCCACGCTTGACTTTGAGTAAAAAGTTTACCTAGGGCTTCAGTTCACTTTACACTTCAAAAAGTCATTACAGAATCATCAGCAATAATTACAGAAAATCAGCTTAAATAAGGCACAAGTAAAAAGAACAGTGCTTATTGGTCAGCAAGGACTGCACATTCATCTAAGTTACAAACTAACCTCTACCATAACTGATGAACTCCACCTACCTTCTCTGCGCTTCCATCTCATCTGGAGATGGCCCATTCTGGACCTGACGCTGGGCAGCTGGACCTACAGAAGATATGAAAGAATGCTATTAGGAAAGCAAATGTGGCTGACTTTTTTTAAAAAGAGCCACTCAGATTAATTGCTTCTCCATCTTACTACAAGAGAAAAGCATTATTGCCCTCTGTTTGCTTTATGTTTTGTTTTAACTCCTTTTTTTCAACAACTCATCACCTCCTGTAATTTTTTAGTCCTACTGGGAGAATCTAATGGCTAAATGTGTGAGCAGATTTGTCCAGAAACTTGGCATCATGGTAGCTTTAGACTACATACTAATCTCTTGGCAAGGGTGAAGACCCACAGTTTTACGAAAGATTGTGAGCACAAATGCTAGCTAGTGCTGTTCTGATGCTAAATTGGCATCAAGAAGCTACCTGAGAGAAAGTGCAAGGAGATGCAAAATTACACAATCCTTTTACAAAGGTGGCTTTTCTTTTTACAACACTGTCAGTCTTCTGCTTCTGCAGGATCCACACCAAGCTGAGCTTTCAATGGCATCACCAAAACTTAACTATGCATGTCACCATTTAGATCACATCACCTTTCTTGACTGTGATCACTTAAACTCTGTTCTTTGACATTCAATCAAGCACACTGACACTACATGCCATTTTCAGAAAGAAATATTTATTCTGAAAATAAAATTAATTGTTGGTAACGTAAGCTACACTGGTCTTGCATTCAGTGGAAGGAGGATTGTTCCATTGATTTGACGAGGTGGGTTTCAACTTGGATTAAACAGGTAGGAGTTCTATTAAATGCAACAGCAATCCAGATAAACAGCACTGAGAAACAGATCAGTTATATGCAGGAAATTATGTCTACCTTGTTTTATTTTACCTTATTTTCATCCTTTTAAAAGTTATGCAACAAGAGCAAATCAGAATTAAACACTTACAAACCCAAATATGTCACTCACAAATTGTTAAGGATATTTCTCCCCATTTTCTTTATATGTTTCTGCCAAGCAGAATGTCATCTGAAAACAAATTTAGAAACTATGACTGCGTGAAAAGAGGAAAGATGGCAGAAATGCATCACAGTCAAAAATTCCAGAGCGTTGACTGATCCTGATGAAATTGTGCATATTTTTGAAATGTGTAAGAACTAACATTTGCAGAAAGGGAACACAGCACTTTCTGAAAATCAGGCCCATGTATTTCAGTTTTGAGTATCCCAAAAATGGAGCCAGTGAAAACCACTAAGTCAAAAGCTCTGACATATAAAAATATCTTGTAATTTAATCTTCTTTTGAACACAGTAGGAAGATAGGTAAGGTCTCATTCCCAACTTGTAGAACTGGACCAGGCTCCCCACAATCAACAATGTCACCAGTTTGGACCCTGGCTCTGGTGTGTTCAGGTAACACCCACGTTCTCCTGTGCACATACAGGTACCTGTGAGGTACTTCAACCAAGCAGATACACCTTCCTCACTGGTAACAAATTCCACAATGACAAGCCTTTGCCATGCTCATCACTGCATATGATTTCATGAGAAAACTTCTCTTGTACGAAGACTCAGAGCATCACACAGAACCCAGCACTCAGCTTGGAAGGAGGACTAAAAGTAGGTGCCAACGTGAACAAGAAATGCCAGAGGATGAGGCAGTAGAAATAACCATTTTTCCTTGGCAATAAATCATGTCAAAGTATACAGGAGGCTCTAATGATGCCATCTTAATATGGTACTTTGGCATGAATCTTCTCTTGGTGGCAAATGCCCAGAAAAATGAGGCAGTGTGGCCAGTAACACTAGACATGCAGAAGGAATCAAAGACCAGACTATCAACACCACACAAGAAATCCAACTCCTTTTTCCTGCAGGCACTGTTATCAACTGGCTATGTAAGTTTAAAACCAAACCGATCCAAATAAATAAATTTGGAAAGTGGCCTAAAGAAATCCTTTTAAGGCAATAGTACAAAACACATCTGGAAGTTGGGGTTGTTGCTTTTGTTATCTGGAGCTTTCTCAAGTTGATCTTGTATAGCAGGCAGGTAAATGAAAAAGCATATGAATCTGCAAACAAGTCTATCTCAATTTTCAGCACAAAGGAGTCCTAGTAAATTCAATGAATTTACTTATATCTTTTCGTATGTATGTGTATGCTTGCAGGATTAAGACCACACTTGAAACTGTATACACTGCTTTTGGCTGCAATACATGGTTGCAAATGAACACTGGCTTGAAAAACGTTGTCTGTGGTACCTGATATACTCCCAGGGCAGATCACAAGTCAATTCAGACAACGTTACTGGAAATTTTTCCCTCACTTTGCTGAAATAACTTAATTTCACTCCCTTATTCAGAGATGAGCTCCATGCATTAGCAGTCCCTATTTTTTTTTTTTTTTTTTTTACATTAAGAACCCCAGCCGATTGTTTCAGTTGGCAGCATTTTGTTGTTATAATTATTCGGTCATAGTGTGAAATGTCCTTAAAATGAAGCACATAAAGCTCCTAACTATGATTTGAAATTGCCAATTTCTTCATAGTTTCTATAGAAATACCCTCCTCTTTTGGCAGACAAAAGAGAAAAAAGTTCAGAAGGAAGGAAGTTACTTCAGACCCAACTCAGTAAATAATTGACATTAAAAAACTCTTCACATAAGTAGTGACAAATTTGCAGACATTTTATTTGCACATGAATTTAAAAAGTCAGACAACTTCTGAGATGCACAGGTTACACAACTGCACGGCCCCCCAAATGCCTTATTTCTCTCCCTGATATCTTGAGGCATGTAACAATTAGTGTTTTCTGACTGATGACTAATTCCTTTCTTTTACATCATTCATTTAATTTTTTTCCAAACTCATTTTTCTTCCATTTTACTAGTGACAGTAGCGAGACATTAAAGAAGTGAACTGTCTTCACTTTGTATCCAATCATAAGATATGTCCTCTTCTGCACATTGGTTTTGTTTACAACCATTTTCTTCTCAAAGTACTTTAGATGTTAAGTATCCTAACAAAGTTGGGAGACAAAAAAAGGCAAGTGTAAACAGAAGAGGAGGATGAAGCTATATTAGGTAGTTTGTCCTCTCTTATGTGTAAAACAAGAAGCAGTGGAGTAAAAGATGAGATAATGCTACCTGAGGAAAAGCCTAGACTAGCTGCAGAGGTCAATCACAGCTTTTGGGAACAGGGATACCTGTTTTGTGCTCCTGCACAGGCTTGTACTGATTGGAAGTAGTTGGAAAAGAGTTTGAGGAAAGTTATATGTAGAGTTGTCTTGGGATAACAGGGTTCAGGGCAGTCACACCTTTTCCTGTCAGTGGGGTTACAGCTCTTCTTGCCACCAGTGGGGAAACACTGGTTCTGTTTGGCACTAGTTGTTTTGCTTGAGTTACTCACAACCACAAGAAATAATTCCTTCTGGCATCCTGCCTGTGATCTTATTCAAACCAATCATTTTTCTACAGTAATATGGATCCTTAATTTGTAAACCCTAAAGAAAAAGGATAGATGCACCCTGTTTTGGCAATCAAGATTTTGCTTGAGGGTGGCGAATACACTTAAAAGTTCAACCCAAGCTTTCAGATCTGTTCATTGCCAGACACACAAATTCTGCTAGATTTCTACCCCCTCCCAATCCAGACTTCTCAGCAGACACAAGCACACCACCACCTGATCTGAAGTCTGCAAACAACTTCAGTCTCCATAATGGTGGAGCTTCTTGGTTCTCTTGCCCTTAAGCTTGCTTTTAGCCGAAGCTCATACACATACTGACAGCAGGGATTATTTTTATGCTTGGTTCTGTATGTGTATGCTCTGCAGTGCACACACAGCAGACAACTGTTTGACCGAGTTTTTTTTAAAATCAAGTGTGTTTCTAGGTTTAATTCGTCTCCACATTTTTAGAAATTTCTTGGACATGAGCAGACGTGAACAGTAAGTGCCCTTGGTGATGGCATCCTCATTTAAACATGCTTCCTGAGTTGCCCTGTGAGCTGCCTCCAACCCTGACAGCCTTTGGGAACAGCCTCACAGAGAAGAGAGCTTCTCAGCACAATAACCAGGAGAGACAGTTTTGCTACGGTCCTGTTCGCAGCTTCACAGCTGTTGTGATCTACATTTTTAGCAACTAATTAATGCAGGAGATACGCTGTGAATGTCTGTGTTTCCTCGCTTCCTTGCTTTGTAATAATTAACCGCGTTTTCATATAAGCATCTTGTGATTCAGCTCCAGGCAGATTTTGGGAGCACACCAATGTTTCCTGTGCTTGCTTCTTCTCCTCCTGCTCAGCTGCCCCAGCACCCACTCTGCCCTTTCCCAGCTGTCCCTAAAGATGGTAACGGAGAACTCCTGGCATAAGGCGCTGCTTTCATGGTGGCTGTGACGGTTTCCATATGCCGGTGGTTGCTTCTGCACCATTGTGTCCTGCTACTGCTCAGAGATGTCCTCATCCAGACCCATGGCCAGTCCCAAAATAGGACCAAAGCTGTCACCGAGGGAAAACTCATGCTCTGTCTTCCACTCTGGCATAGGTGCAGTGGGAAGGCACGAGCAAGCAGAAGCAATGTCATAATTTCTCTCCTTCTGGTGCAGCCCCAGCAACGTTTCTTTTTCCTCTTTTACTTATGCTACAACTGCAAGCACCACTGACTGCATGAAGTGGCAAAACTAGGCCCATTTCTCTAAGCAACCAGGATTTTGAGCTTCAATACAGGAGGTCCAGTCTAACCCACTTACAGATCTTCATTATGCACACTGGAAGCAGCCCCAGGTGGGATTTCTGCAACCCCTATGGACTCCATGGTGCTTATGGACCAGTGTGATGAATATGATGGGCTAACAAAAGGGTCCAGTGTCAAGAGCTGAGTGAGAAATATATTTGGGCTTTAAATTCATAAGATTGAAAAGTTTTGTTCTGCATATGAACAGAACATGATGATTTTGTGTGGAAAAAAAACACAGCAGACTATGGGAGGCAAAGAGGTGAGGGACAGACAGCTCTTCCTCATTGCCTGATGGTTTCAGCACATACTTGGATTGCAGATCCGA